TATACAACTGAAACCCAAATAATATGGGAATTCATAAGTGTTATTTCCCACAGTCAAACTTGAGCATGTTCAAATAAGACCCTTGCTTGATTCTCTCATCCCATAATATCCAAATGTTCCTTTCTGCTAGAGCATTGGAACAAAAATGCTACACCATACTCCTAGCAAAAGGACCAATTTGGACACCAACAATTTAGGCTCTTGAATTGCAACAAGACAAACATCATGCAATTTAATAAGTTTCTTTCATCTCCTCCTCTTGGCATCTTTACCTACCCCTCTCATATTCCATGATAGAAAATTAATCATAAATTCATAGGAGAAGGAACATCACTGGAACTAAATCCATTACCATCCTCATTTTCATCAAAAGAACTCCCAAAATTATCAGAATCAACATTTTACAATCTTCTGAGTTCTAGAACTGGCCTGATCAGAGTAGTAACCCTTATCTGGAGGTTCTCTCATTCTAACCAAACCAGACTGGTCATCTAAAGAATTTTGGCTTCCTTGCCTAGCAGCAAATCCATGTTCCACAAGAAATGAGGACCCCATTGATGGAGCATAAAGGTTTATACATTCTCCCAATACCTCCATATTATCCTTAACCAACATATTGTCATTGTTAATACCATCAAAATTAGAAACTATATTTTCCACTTCAGATGTTAGCATTCCTCCAATAATTTCAACATTAACCTCCTCATTATTCACAGGAGGTAATAACGTAGGGGAGGAAAAGAAGTTTACCTCCAAATTTGCACCCTCTGATGATGTAGTTATAGGAATTTGATTCCTAGATCTTGAACCATTAAGTAGTATTGGACTGTTCTCTTGTTGAATTCCCTTCATTCTGGTATCAGCTATATCAGCATTTACCTCTCCTTGAATACCACATTCAGAATTTGCCTGAGGATTATCAAGAATTACAGTATCAATTCTAACAGCATCCCCCTGTACTTCAACAAGTCCAGTACCCATTTCTTTAATAGAGGGAGATCCCTCATTATTAGCAACCTTGTCAGGTAATTTTTCCTGACCATTCTGATCCATTTCCTTCCCAATCTCCAGCTCTTCTACAACAATCTCCTCATTGAACACAAAGAAACTATTTCCCACAACAGTAGTTTGAGGCAAAGGTTTCTGTCTGTATTCCTTTCTACACTGTACTTTCTGTCCTTCTATAGCAACAGTTTTTCCCTTTCTCTTCTTCCATTCCTCATTCTGTGGGAGATTATTCCCATCCTCCTGTTGCTTCTCAGAAATATCAACTTCCACTTTCTTCTTCCTTCTACACAACACTTCATCATGACCCTGCTTTAGACAAGCAGGACAATACCTGTATTCTTTCTCATACACTATCCTCTGCCATCTGCCACTAATGCCCCCCCATATCTAACCAGAATCTCTTAGGATTATTGACTAGAAGATTCATTTCAACACAGGCCCTGGCTACACCCGGCCTAGAGAGATTCAGAGTGGCATTATCTATCACCAGAATTCTGCCTATTGGACTTAATATATCTCTCAGACTCTCTCTGTTAAATAAATGGATTGGAAGACCAGGTAAGGACACCCATACAGGTACAATAGGTGGCTCGATCCCAGAATAAAACTCTGGAAACCATTTGAAAAACCTGAAAAGGTAACCCTCAATGTAGGTGGTATCCTTCAGCCACACTTTAACATAGTCCTCATAGAGAGAAAATTTGATCAGTACATGCCTCTGATCTAATACTCCTACAGAGAAATCTCCTTTCAGCAGCCACCTAGATTTGATAAATTCTTTCACCACACCTAGAGAAGGTTTACCATAGGCACATTTACCAATAAGTATTTGACAAAAACCTTTAGATAGTTCCAAAGTTTCAGTAGGGGACCAGTACATTCCGGGTTCTCCTTTATTAAAGACTACCCTCTTAGCAGGTTTGGAAGAGTTCATGGAATTTACAGAACCAAAAACAATATTAGAAGCAAGAACATGAAGACCAGAGAGATTTTGAGTATTCGAAATAACAACTGGGATCTGAATTCCTTTCTCAGGAGCAGAGATTTGAGATTTAGGCAGACTTCGATCCATCGAGGATTCATGAGATTCCAAAATGGCTTGAGGAATTAAAGAAGGTTGAGGATTAATAACAAGTGTTTTCGTGTTTCGATCAATTGTAGAATCAATAGGAACTTGACTTCCTAACCCAGAAGAAGAACTATAAACATTTGTAGCAGTCGACACCGTCGCAGGAAGAACAGAGGCCAGTTGAACAGTCGGCTTGGTTTGATTCACTTTACAAATAAGAGGCATAGAGATGGTGTTATTCCCTCCCAAAGGATCAACAATTGTTAAGGAAGTAAATTCTGAAGTAATAGGAATTGTTAGAGAAATGTCTTTCAGAACAGGTTTCTTAAACAAAGAGGCAAAGTTTTGGGTGATGTCTGGAGGTTTTGGGGAAATTTGATGATATTCTTAGGCCAGATCCATGCTAAATCAATCAAAACCACTAGGATTTACAAAGAAAACCAAGGAAATAATGAAGAAACAGTAAAGAACAAAGAAGATCTGAGAAAAAAAAATGAAAAGTTTTTTAGAGAGAAGTCAGACCTTCTCTCTCTAGAATGAAATAACTGCCTCCTCCTAAACCCTAAACCCTAAACCCTAAACCCTAAACCCTCAACCCTCAACCCTCAACCCTAAACCCTAAAACCCTAAAACCCTAAAATCCTAAACCCTAAACCCTAAACCCTAAAACCCTCAACCCTAAACCCCAAAACCCTCAACCCTAAACCCCCAACCCTCAACCCTCAACCCTAAAAGCCTAAACCCTAAAACCCTAAACCCTAAACCCTAAAACCCTTAAACCCTAAACCCTAAACCCTAAATCCTAAAACCCTAAAACCCTAAACCCTAAACCCTAAATCCTAGCTATCACGTTAATTTTTGTCGAATTTTGAAATAGTCAAATTTTTTATATTTTACGAGGTGATCAGGCCTCGGGACACTCAAACACGAATTTTTGAATAAAATTTTGAACTTTAATCAAAATAAAATTTAATCATTTCGGGGCAAAAATGAACTTGAAAAAGAGGATTGTGTGGCGCATTATGAACCAAGTATTTAGGGAGTATAAAAAGGGGAGAAATATCATATTTTTCTCCATTTTTCAGCCGATTCCAATATGAGAAAGAAGTAAGGGAAAAAGGCTTAGGTTCTCCACCTTCTCTCTACGATCTACGGAGATTCGTTAGTCGAATCAACTCAAGCCAAGAGCAAAGATTGTTCTACGCAGCGAGGGCTACAAAACCATACCAAGAAGAATGGATTTCATCAAAGTTCCAAGAATGAGCTTATAAAAATCAAGGGTTTTGGGCAAGATTGGTGTTCTTGAAGGCTTCTACCAAGTGAGTTTACACTTCAAGAGGTAGGGTTCCCTCCTACTTAGGTTTATTTTCAACCTAGGAGGTTTATATGGAATGGGTAGGTTGATAAAGTTATATATATCACTTGCCTATTGTGGTAATTTGGGAAAATGGGTATTGAAAATGGGTAAAATAAATTCTATCTTAAATTGGGTATGTAGAAATTACTTAGTGAAATTTCTTGAGAAATGTGAAAATTACTAATTTGTAGTTTCTTAGTAAGAATGTTATTGTGGACATGTTATGTGTTTACATTATGTCTTGTTGAACTTAGTGTGTTAATTACATGTTTATGTGATAACATGTTTGGAAATTGTTGTTGTGTATGATGTTAATATATGCTTTATGATATGTTAGCATTATGATGAATTGTGAAAATTATATGCTCTTGATATAATTGACAATAGAATGGTAAAATTGCTCAATTAGCATTCATCGCATATTGGGTATGATGTGGGCATCACATTCATGGGCATTGGGCATGAGTGTAGGTGTATGTGCACAAGGTTCAATCAAACACCATACTTAGTGGATAATGGGTGGGCTCGGGAAAAGTTAGAATGAAATTCTGGCTGAGTCGCACGGTTGCACGAAAAAATTTATGTTGGGTATAGAAAGAAGGGCTAGACTCTCCCTCGGGTGCAAGACTCGGCTACTGGTTTATACATTTTCGTCAGTGCAAGTCTAAAAAAGTGTATCGATGTGCAGAGCCCGCGGTGCAACACCAAAAGTTCGCTATCCAACAAAGACACATGATTTTGTTTATATAAAATTGTCATTCAGTGTGTAATACCAATGGTGGGGGCTTGAAAGTGTCCATTTTTCATACACTGGCGTTGCATTGTGTGGTTAGAGCCGCTGAGGGCTCGGGTTAGAGTGCATGAATGAGTTTTATCTCATATCATGGCATGACTTGTTATATTCCAACATTGAATGCACGTTCTTATTTGGAATGTTGTGGATTGTTGAATGTTACATGTAGACCTTTCATATGCACTTAGGTTGGAGAATAGCCTCTTTAGGATATACTCTATTAAGCGTGGCTCACCCTTTATGAGACAACAATTTAAAGTGCGGGGTTTACACCGGCGGACGGCTCTCATTTCGAGCCTCGAGGATGAAGAAAGCCAACTTGTGGCTTTTATTGCTCATTTTGTAAAACCTTTATGAAAATTCCATTTTGATGTGTAAATATGTGGAATTGTATGTAATAGAAATTGTAAGTATCATGCTTTTGTGAAAAACTCTATTAAACTTGAATTGGATGGTTGTGGAAGGGATTGGGTTGGTTTGGAAATGAAACAGGCAATTGTGGGCAAAACCTACCAGTTGAACTTAAACCTACCGATAGAACTTTTTCGGTAGACAAAACCTATAGGTAGATTTTCTAAAAATTTGATATTTTAATAGAACTTTGCCAATGGATCAAACCTACCGGTAGGTCCATGCAAACCTACCAATAGATCATTCAAAAATCTAAAATTTTAAAAGTGCTTTGACATATTTTTGGGCTATGCGTTCCCTCATTTCAAAAGGTGTAAATGGACCCTATTAGGGTATATTGGACCTCGGATGGGTCAATTGAATTAAAAGTATACAAGTTATGGGTTTTTGTCATCTAAGTAAAGGGGATGTGATATTGTGATGTCGGATTGAGCAGCATCCACGGGTGGTTCCACGGGTTGATGGGTAATCAACAATTTAACAAAGGACCCCCGATTTTAGGGGCGTCACAGTACTGGCTCTCATGATCACCATATTAGCTTTCTCCATCTTCATTCTCTTGTGCAGGTATGTGTGAATGGGGTACACGTGCGCTCCCTGTGCGCTGAAGAGGGGCTGCCGGGCGAGGGGCGTCCTGATGTGGCCTTGGAGCATTTTAGCGAAGGGCCCCATGGTTAGTGGATGTCTGGCGCCTAGAAGGGATGGGTTGATGCTCCTCTCCTACTAGAGGGAGTAGTATTTATCCTACATGGTGAGGGGCAACGCCTCCCTGGGCAAGCATCAATTGAATGATCTACTTATTTTGTTTTACCAGCAGTTGCATAGTTTGTAAGAGATGTTGCTGTTGTCCAGTCATAGTAGCAGATGGTTTTGAAGGTGCAATGGGAGGTGGAGCCTCCTCCTAGTGAGTCGGGTTGTTGTCTCCTGGTTGTTGACTTATCGATCTGGTAGAAGCCTTGGAGCATTCTAGCTAGTTGTCTCATTGTTAGAGGCTGTTTGGCACCCAGAAGGGATGGGTTGCTACTCCTCTCCTGTTGGAGGGAGTGGTACTCCTCCTACAGGGTGAGGGGTGGGACCTCCCTAGCCGAGCATCAGTTGAATGATCTACTGATTTTATTTTTCCAGCAGTTACATAGTCTGTAAGAGCTGTTGCTATTGTCAAATCGTAGTAGTAGATGGTTCTGAGAATGCAAGGGGAAGTAGAGCCTCCTCCCGGTGAGTCGGGTTGTTGTCTCCCAATTTTTGACTCATCCATCTAGTAGTGATTGACATGGATTAAAAAGGAGTAGGAAATTAGTCGTTTCCCACAAACGACGTCAAACTGATGAAGCACAAATTGGTATTGCACAAAATCAACAGTCAAGGATGTGTACGGATACAATCAATAAGCAGTAAACAATCAATTAATAATAAAGTTGTAAATAAAGAAACAACATAGAGATTTATAATGGTTCGACCCGGGTGACCTACTCAACTCTTGGGAATGGCAGCGATGACCTGAGTCTTTTATTAATGAATGAAATTGTTGGAGAGAGTATTCTCCAGGAGTATTACAATGCTTTTAGGAGAGAGAGAGAGAGAGAGCAAAGTGTGTAGGAAGGTGTAGTATGTGCAGAGATCTCAAGATGTAGAGGCCCCAAAAGGTGATGTGAAGATGTCTCTCCTTGTGGAGAGAGCTTGCATTATATAGATTTACAAAGGTGGTGAGCCGGTGAGGTGAGGGAGAGGTCTTCCACTATTTTGGTAAGTACAGTTATGGTATGATTAGATCTCCTTATCCCGATATTCTTTCCCTCATGTACCTATTCCGTTAGAGGAAGATCCTGAGTTGGGTTGAAGTTGAGTTGGAAAGACCAAGTGAGGAGAGAGACCATTAAGGCGATACCTATATGAGAAGGGAAGAGCATGGCATGGAGGAGAGCAGGGGTCCCCTTGGGGTGGCCTCCTTGGGTGGCACCTCTTGGGGTCTTCTTCGAGCGCTGGTCTCTTGGTCTCCCTTTGGGCCTGGTGTCTTAGGCTCCTTCTTAACTTGATGACTTGGGCTTCGAGATGATGTGGGTCTCTCTTGATTCGTTGGGCCTGGCCCAGTTAATTTCGGGTTCATCAAATATGATTATTGGATCTTTAAAAGAGAATAAAATCTCTCAATTAAAGATTTGAGTATGTATTTGAATTTTCCTTGATTTGGGTAAAAAAAATATCCCTTGATTTGATATGGTTACCCATTAAAAGATGATAAAATCTCACCATTAAAGATTTGAGCTTTAAAAATTTTTCTCTTTGGGTTTAAAAAAAGGTTTTTTTATTTATTTATTTGGTATGGGTATAAGTCTAGTATTGAAAAAATATTTTAGATTATTTTTATCTAAATTTAAATTTAAGTATAAAAAAGGTAAAGATGGGAAATGTTTTATTGAAAATTTTTTTTAAAGAATTTTTTGTCTAAATTTAAATTAGAGCTTAAAAACAGTAAGATCGGGGAGATTAAGTCGGTTTCTCAATTTGGTTTTGAAGTTGTGAAGATACGAGTGTCTTTCTTCACTCTCTCTTATGTCTTTATGAAATGGCTTCCACGACACCCTACGGCTCAATCTCAACACCCCAAGAAGAACGCTATACATCCACAGCCATCAATTTGTCTTCATCCTCTTCAACAGTCTGATTTGGCACTCCTGAAGCCCTCGAACACGTTCAAAAACTCACTGATGTAGGAGCCATGACTTGTCTCCATCACAAATTCATTGCTTGCCAACGAGCCCTGGATTTTGAACTAGACACCATTCTTTCCCAACGCCCAGATCTCGACAAACAACTCTCCAACCTCCACAAATCCCGGAAGCTCCTTGAGATCGTCAAGGCCGATTCCGACCACATGCTCTCCAACGTCCGCTCCACATACAATCTTGCCGATCAAGTCAGCGGCAAATTTCGCCAACTTGATCTCGCTCAGTCCTGCGTTAATGACACTCTTCTCTGCATCGACGCCATCATAGAGAGAGGTAATTGCATTGATGGCATTAAGAAAGCTCTCCAAACTGAAGATTTTGAATCGGCTGCTAAATACATCCAGACCTTCCTCCAGATCATGCCAAATACAGAGATTCTGGTTTGGATCAAAGAGAACTGTTGCTAGCATCGAAGAAACAGCTGCAAGGAATTGTCAGGAAGAGGTTATCGATTGCTGTGGATCAGCTAGACCACCCAGTGATCCTTCGCGTCATTAGATTATACTCTCCTCTCGGTTTGGAGGAAGAAGGATTGCAAGTGTACATAAGTTATTTGAAGAAAGTAATTTTGATGAGATCTAGGCTCGAATTCAAGCAATTGGTGGAATCGATGGAGTAACAGCAATCCTCTACTGCTGCTACTAATCAAAATTAAGTGAACTTTGTTGCTTATTTGATGAATTTGTTCAAAGACATTGTGTTAGCCATAGAAGAAAATAATGAGATTTTAAGGAGTAATCTATGTAATGAGGTGGAATGTGTATGCCATATATGAGCTCCAAGATGAGTGTGATTCTCGGGGTTCCTTAATTTTAAAGAAATACATAGAATATCGAAAATTGGCTAAGTTGACATCCGAAATTAACACTTACAAGAGAAACTTACTTTCTGTTAGAGACCAAGGATCTGACCCAAGAGAGATCGAATTGTATTTGGAAGAGATTTTGCAACTGACACGGTTGGGTGAGGACTACACTGATTATATGGTGTCCAAGATAAGAGGTTTGAGGTCAGTTGATCCAGAATTACTTCCCCAAGCAACCAGAGTTTTTAGGAGTGAAAATTTCAGTCAAGTTGTTCAGGACATTACGGGTTATTATGTGATTTTGGAGGGGTTCTTCTTGGTGGAAAATGTGAGGAAGGCTATTAGCATTGATGAGCATGTACTTGATAGCCTCACAATGTCCATGGTGGATGATGTGTTCTATGTTCTACAGAGTTGCTGTAGGAAATCGATATCCACTTTTAATATTAACTCAGTGATTGCGATACTGAGCAGTGTTGTGAGTTTGTTGGGTGGCGAGTATAATGAAGCGTTGTAGCAAAAAATGAGGGAGCCTAACCTTGAAGCGAAGCTGTTCACGGGTGGTGCTGGTGTGCAAAAGACTGGGACAGAGATTGCGACAGCTTTAAATAACATGGATGTCAGTAGCGATTATGCACTAAAACTACGACATTAGATTGAAGAACAATGTTCAGAGGTCAGTGGCAATTGTACTTCTATTTTGGTTATTTCTATTCAGTCCCCATCTTTCTTAAGGATTTTTTTTACTTTGGCTCTTTGTCTGGGAAGAGCTTTGCATTCAAAGTTTCATTTCTTAAAGGAGTATACTAAAATTGCTAGTTCATACATAACACAATGTGGTCTTGGGTTGCTTCTCTTTCCATATACAAATTTTATTTAATGGAACATAGACCTCTCTCATTTCTTGTAATATTTTCGGGACCATGTTTAGCTTGGGTACTAAATTAAGTCCCAACTTCAATTTGAAAATAGTGTCACATGTTATATTTCTGGATAGGAACTTTTAGGTGCTCAACTACTACAATTTGAACCATGTACAATGTGATAAGGCCAAGTTCACCGAGTTAGCCTATTTCACCGACGATTACGTGGCTAGAAACATGGCCAAAGTGAGGAGGTTTGAGGATGGTCTAAAACTATCCATTCGGGAAAGATTGTGGGCCTCCGCCTATAAGATTTGGATTCGATGGTCCAGACTGCAATGGCCATTGAACGAGATGTGGACGATGCGAGGAACATTTGAGAGGCTGGAACTAAGGATAGGAAGAAGAAGGGTCAATCCTCTTCTTCTAGTTCGGGGAAGAGGTAAAGGACTTCTACTCCCCAAGGAAATCAAGGACAAGGCCGCAACTACTAAGACCAAGGCCAAGGTCAATCCTCCCAAAGCGGGAGACACTTCAGGGCTTCCAGCCAAGCAGGCTCACGGGCGTGTTTCTATCACCACCAACTGGGGCATATGAAGTAGGATTGTCCTTAGAGGTAAGGATTCCAAAGCAATAGGACATCTCAGTCCCAATAATCAATAGGGCAGCCACAGACACACTACATTCCTCCCTACCCCAGTATGGGTCAGGAAAACCAATACTAGGTCCAGGGTGCTACTTAGACCCCTACCACTTCATGAGCGGAGACTCCATAATCAGGCCAGATGGGCCAGCGCATGGGTCAAGGCTGAAGACAAGGCATACAGGCTGAGACTTCAGGGACCTAGGGGCTTGTCTACACCATCATACCTTAGATTGAGCCAACGGATCAGTCTGTTATCCAAGGTACATTTCTTCTCTCTCGCTTATGGGTTAGAGTATTATTTGACTCTAGTGCATCACATTCATTCATTTATGCATCTTGCATGAGAGATTAGGGCTTAGAGGTTGAGACTTTGGAGGAGCTAGTATACGTTAGTTCTCCCTTAGGAGCTAAGGTGAGTGTTGATCAGATATATCAAGATTGTAAGTTAGAGATCTCGGGGATTCTACTCACCGTGGACCTAAGAGTCATGGACATGTCAGAGTTTGATGTCATCATTGGGATGGACTGGTTGACGGCACACCGAGTTGTCATTGATTGTGATCGAAAGAGGGTCACTGCTTATACGCCTAATGGTGTTTGTTTCAAGTTCCAAGGGAAAAGCACGATGCCTTACCCCAAGTCGTGTACGACTCTAGATGACACGAAAAGTTGATGGGTTGGCTTGCGAGCCTTACCTTGGAGGACGAGATGAGACAAGAATTGGGTCTAGCTCGGGTTGTCTGTGAGTATGAAGATATTTTTTTGGACAAACTACCAGGATTACTTCCCCATAAGAATGTGGACTTCAACATTAAGTTGCATCCTAGTACTTCTTCTATTTCTATGACTCCACATAGAATGACACCTACCGAGTTGTAAGAACTCAAAGTCCAATTGCAAGAATTGTTGGATAAGGGTTTTATCAGACCATGCACTTCACCTTTGGGTGCTCCGATATTATTTACCAAGAACAAAGATAAGACTCTTCAGCTATGTATAGACTCTTCACCTTTGCTTACCTTGAAAAACTTCTCTTGAAAGACTTTGGCCCACAAAGAAGACCCCTTTAGAATGCCCCATACTTGTTTTTGCAATCAAAGAAAAAAGCAGACATTCCTGCCTTTACAATTTGTTTTTGCCAACTATACCATGAGAATCAAGAAAATACAATTTTCTTTCTGCAAAATTTATTCCTTTGCTTATCAAGCAGCAACAATCTTTTAGCAGGATGAGGAATATCCAAAGCAGCAGGGAACTCCAAAGAACATCCACATTGCACTGCCCAGTTTGCAAAGAAGTCAGCTGCCGAATTGCCTTCCCTGTATACATGTATCAGTTGGAAATTTAATCTCCCCAAAATCTCCTTAATTTGCCGCAACAATTCCCAATTTTTCCAAGCACGTAAGTGCCCCTTCATTACCATATTAACCATAATTTCAAAATCAGCCTCCACTTGAATTCGGTACCCCTGCAAATCATATTTTTCAACAAGACATATACCATCTTTCAATGCCCTTAATTTTGCCTCCATATTAGACCCTAAACCCTAAACCCTAAACCCTAAACCCTAAACCCTAAACCCTAAACCCTAAACCCTAAAACCCTAAACCCTAAACCCTAAACCCTAAACCCTAAACCCTAAACCCTAAACCCTAAACCCTTTTTTTTTTTTTTTTTTTTAAAAGAAGAAAATTTTATTGAATAAAAACAGAAATTACAAGAAGCAAATAAGTCACTATTTTAAGCTAAAAACAGTGACTTATGAACATATAACATCAAAAACAATACAAGGGTAAAATGGTAAATCAAAAATATAATCCCTTTGTAGTGTCTTCTTTCCATCCTGCTGAAACAATCCTGAACAAACGCCTTAAGCCACAGAAGACAGCCTCAGATACAGTCCAGGAAGAGACAGGGAAGACCAACAGTCTGTCCCAAATAATAAGTCTCAGCCCCTTAATAATCTGCAGCAGTGATCAGAATTCCAAGCAGCCAGATAAAACATTGCAGTCCCTTCGACAGATCAGTCCAGGTGCAACTCCCATACATGCACTTCATTTAATAACCAGGGTTCTGAAATGGCCAGATGCAGAGTATACCATACCTCACATATCACCTATATAAACTGTACTGAAACAGCTTCCTTCAACATTCCAAGATGAAACGTAAAAGGGAGCAAGATGAAATCAGAAAACCTGGTCATCCACACTCAAAAGCTCACAAAAGAAGTCCAGAAGATAGTCCAGGCAGATTGGAAAAGGAGCATCCAACAGAAACTGAAGAACTGCTCTTGATTCTAATAAATCATCTCAGAAGCCTACTAGAATCAACACAGATCCAACCAGCAGAAGAACCAAAGTAGAAACCCTTTAGAATGTTTCCTAGAATTATTACAATTTCCAGATTCTAGGTCTTTCATACTGTATACACAAAATTAACCAATACCTTCTCTTTGATCACATATCAAACTCTTCAATCTGGCAGAGGGAAAGCCATATAAATCTTGTTGCAATATCAGTCTTCCAATGGATGGCAGAAAATTATTTGCAGAAAACTCAGTGTACTGTTCTGATTTAACTGCAAAGGAAGCTAAAAAGTCAGCCAGACTATTAGCTTCCCTATATATGTGTTTGATTTGCAAATTCAGAAAACCAAACAGCATCTTAATCCTTTCAAGTAGATATTGCAGCTTCCATGGAACAGCAGCTAATCCTCTTACCATTTGAAATAAAGAATAAGAATCAGTCTCCACCATAATCTGAGATGTTGTCAGACTGTATTGCAAAATCAGAATTAAACCATCCAATAATGCCCTGCATTCAGCAAACATATTAGAACCAATACCATAAAAGCAGGAAGCTGCAGCAATTATTTGGCCTTCATGATCTCTCAATACCATCCCACCACCTGACAATCCAGTCTTACCCTTAGAAGCACCATCAACATTAAGCTTTAGCACATTTGCAGGAGGAAGTTCCCATTTAATCCATTTAACCTTGGTGATTAAGGAAAATGGACTTTTAATACTCAAGTCTCTCAACAACTCCTTTCCTTTACCATCATCATTTGATCTAGGTCTGATAAGAAAAGCCTGCCATCTTAAAGAACTCACTATTTGGTGAAAAATAGCATTGGCATTTAAAAATACTCCCTCATATTTCCTCCTACATCTCTCCTTCCACAAGGCCCAAAAAATTAGCATAGATACCCCTCTGATTAGATTATGACTGAGAGAAGCAGCTTTAAACCTTCTCAACAATCTCAAGAATCTGCATAAAGGAGCCTCTCCTGAAAATATATCAAATTCCATAATTGCAGCAATTTTCCTCCAGACAGCTTGAGCTAAGGAGCAATCAATAAGTACATGAGCTGCACTTTCCCCATCCACACCACACATGACACATCTACTAGCCATTGCAACTCCCACATCTTGAACTCTATCATCAGAAGTCAAAGCTTTCCTGAAAATTTTCCAAGTGCAAAGTTGAGCACTAGGAAAAATTTTCTGTTTCCATATGCCTTTAGCAATAGCAGTTTGGTTCCCCACTTTCCTGAGCTGATTCCATGCAGATTTTACAGTAAATTCACCTGAAGTAGTATGCTTCCAAATAAGCTTATCAGATTCCTCAGATCTCACAAAAACCACCTTTTCAATTTCAGAACATAATTGAGGATTAAGCCATTCAGCAACCTCATTTAGCTGCCATGTTACCCCATTCCATAATTCTTTTATCTTGGGAAAGATCAATGGAAGATTCTCCATTCTAAGAATCAAGGGGCCAGTTTCCAACCATGAATCACACCAAAAATCAGTATTATGACCATTTCTAACTATTTTGAAAGAATTCTGTACTGTAAAATTGAACCAAGGCTTCAAGACATTAAATGATAAACCTGCACCACTGCTGCTACATCTTAGCATATGCTTGCCTTGAAAAAACTTCTCTTGAAAGACTTTGGCCCACAAAGAAGACCCCTTTAGAATGCCCCATACTTGTTTCACTCTGAATGCCATCTGGACTTCATCAAAACTTCTAATTCCCAAGCCACCTTCTATTCTGGGCTTAGAAATATCATTAAGTGACACCCAATGTCTCCTCCTGGATCCAATTTGATTAGACCAAATAAAATCAGCAATAAGAGAGTTCAGCTTACTTAAAATACCTTTTGGAATATTCAAACAAGCCAAAATATGAATGGGAATTGAGCTAAGTACTGACTGCACCAATACCACTCTTCCCATTCCAGAGAGAAGTCTGGCATACCAACCCTCAAGTCTTCTTCTAAAGCTGTTCACCACCTCTTCAAAGTAGCATTTCTTAACTCTACCTCTGATAAGAGGACATCCCAAATAGGTAAAAGGACAATTCTTCAAAGGAATCCCCATCACAGCAGCCAGCCTATTTCTTCTAGCTAGAGAGATCAGCTTGGAGCAGTAGACAGCACTTTTCATCTTGTTAACCTTCTGTCCAGAGCATGATTCATACAACTCAATAAATTGCAAAACATTCACTACAGAGGACTTATTACCTCTTAGAAAAATCAGAGTATCATCAGCAAATAGCAAATGGCTAACAATTGTTGTTCCTCTCCCAATATGGAAATGTTTCACCAAATTCTGGTGATAAATTCTTCTTAACCCTCTACTCAGCACTTCCTCAGCCAGGATGAATAAGGAAGGTGAGAGAGGATCTCCCTGTCTTAACCCCCTTGAATTAGCAAAATAACCATATCTTTGGCCATTTAAACAAATGGTAAAGAATTGGCTACTCAAACAATTCAAAATAATTTGATTAAACAAATCAGAAAAGCCAAAGCCAGCCAGTACCCTCAACAAAAAATCCCATTCCATCCTGTCATATGCTTTCATCATATCCAGTTTCATAACCATATTCCCACCATCCACCTTTCTGTCTAATTCTCCAACAAGCAACTGTCCCAAGGCCACACAATCTCCAATACCTCTGCCTTGTACAAAGCCATGTTGTTCTTCAGAAATTAAAGCAGGAAGAAGGGAAGAAAGTCTAGTATTCAGAAGCTTTGTAAAGATCTTATATAAGAAATTACATAAGCTTATAGGTCTGAAATCAGCAAATGAAGCATGGATTTTCCTTCTTAGGAATCAATACTAACAAAGTGGAATTCACAGATTTAGGCATTGTACCTCCTGCTAGCAAAAAGTTAACAGCTCTGCCCACATCAATTTTAATAATGTCCCAGGCAAATCTAAAAAACATACCAGACATACCATCAGGCCCAGGGGCACTTTCAACTGCCATTGAGAAGACCACATCTTTCAATTCCTCCAAAGTGGCTTCAGCTGTGAGCCTCTCATTATCCTCTTGATTGATGAGCTTAGGAATAACATCAACAAAAATTTGTTCATTGATGATATGCCTTTCAGACTTGTAAAGATCAACATAAAATTCCTCAGCTACCTCAGCCACTTGCTTATTCCCACATACCCATACCCCTTCTTTATTCTTGATTCTTGAGACTTTATTCCTAACCATTCTACTTTTAGCAATAGAATGGTAAAATCTGGTATTCCTTTCCCCCTGTACAGCCCATTTTATATTTGACTTTTGCTTCCAATAAGTTTCTTCTCTTCTTAGCCAATCATCCATCTCATTCTTAGCAGCTTTTAACTCTATGTCTTGTGAATCAGAAAACCTCTGATCTACCTCCTGTTCCAACAAACTTATTTTTTGCTCCAGGTTTCTCAATTTGTCAAAGAGATTTCCAAACACATTTTTATTCCACATCTTCATATGAGCCTTCAAATATTTCATCTTGATGAACAAATTTGACATTGGATTCTCTGAATAGTGCCCTCCCCAATTTGCTTTAATTAGATCAAAAAATCCCTCATGATCACACCACATGTCTTGAAATCTAAAATAAGAGAGTCTTTTCTGTACAGGAGCATCCATGATCTTCATCAATAAAGGGCTATGATCAGATGAGCCCCTTGCTAAATGAGCCACTTCCATACTATCAAATTTCAAATTCCAGCAAGCATTGATCAGAGCTCTGTCCAACCTCTGCTTCATTCTGATGCCCCCATTCCTGTTATCACACCAGGTGAATTTATTACCCACAAAACCAGCATCCAGCAAACCCCTATGATTTACAAAATCACCAAAATCCTCTATAGACAGCAGAGAAGGAGGGGCTCCCCCCAATCTTTCATCAGAAGAAAGGATTGAATTGAAATCACCAACCACCATCCAAGGGACATCAGAGGGGACATCAATTCCCAACAAATGATCCCATAATAGCCTTCTTACAAAAGGATCACAACTAGCATATACAATTGAGATCCAAAAAATAATTGAATTCAGAAAAGTTATTTCCACAGTCAATACTTGATCATGTTCAAATAAGATTCTCAACTTGATTCTCTCATCCCATAAAATCCAAATTTTCCTTTCTGCAAGGGCATTAGAACAGAAGTGCTCTAAGCCAATACTCCTAGCAAAAGGAACCAATTTAGAAATCAGTAGTTTAGGCTCTTGAACTGCAACCAAACAAACATCATGCAATTTAATAAGCTTCTTTAATCTCCTCCTCTTGGAATCCTTACCTGCCCCTCTCATATTCCATGATAGGAGATTAATCATAAATTCATAGAAGATGGAACTTTACTGGAACTAAGTCCATTACCCTCATCCTCTTCTTCAACAGAACTCCCAGAAATATCAGATTCAACATTTACAATTCTCTGAGGTCTAGAGCTAGCCTGATCTGAAAAATAACCCTTATCTGGAGGTTCTTTCATCCTAACCAAACCAGACTGGTCATCTAAAGAGTTTTGGCTTCCTTTTCTAACAACAAATCCATGTTCCAAAAGGAAAGATGAATCCATTGATGGAGCATAAAAATTCCTACATTCTCCCAAAATCTCCATATTTTCATGAACCACCATATTGTCATTATTAACAACCTCAATTACAGGAACTCCAACATTGATCTCCTCATTAATAGGAAGTAATGGAATAGAGGAGGAAAAAGAATTTACCTCCAATGTAGCCCCCACAGTGACTGTATTTATGGGAATTTGATTTCCAATTTCAGAAGCAATAGATACTCCTGGACTATTCTCTTGATGTATTCCCTCCAATCTGATATCAGCATTATTAGTATTGCCAACTCCTTGAGTACCACATTCAAAGCTTGCCTGAGGGTTCTCCAGAATGACAGTATCCTTTCTAACATCCTCCCCCTGTATTTCAACATCTCCAATACCAATCTCCTGAATAGAAGGAGATCCTTCATTATTAGTGACCTTGTCTGGTATTATTTCCTGTTCATTTACATTCATTTCCTTCCCAATATCTTGCTCTTCTATAACAATATTTTCATTTAAAACAGAAAAACTATTCCCCACAGCAGTAGTTTGAGGGTTAGATTTCTGTCTATATTCCTTTCTAGACTGTCCTCTCAGACCATCTGTAGCCATAGCTTTACCTTTTTTCTTCTTCCACTCCTCATCCTGAGGAATATTATTCCCTGCCTCCTGCTTCTTATCAGAAATATCATCTTTCACTGTCTTCTTCCTTCTACACTGCACTTCATCATGCCCCTGCTTAAGACAAGCAGGACAATACCTGTACTCTTTTTCATACACTATCTTTTGCCATCTGCCACTAACACCTCCCATATCTAACCAGAATCTCTTAGGATTGTTGATTAGAAGATTCATCTCAACACAGGCCCTGGCTACCCCAGGTCTAGAAAGGCTAAGGGTAGCATTATCTATCACCAGAATCCTGCCTATTGGACTTAAAATATCTCTCAGACTTTCTCTATTGAATAAATGGATTGGAAGCCCAGGTAAGGATACCCATACAGGTACAATAGGTGGCTCAATCCCAGAATAAAACTCTGGAAACCATTTAAAAAACCTTAAGAGATAACCCTCAATGTATGTTGTATCCTTCAGCCACACTTTAACATAGTCCTCATAGAGAGAAAATCTGATCAGTACATGCCTCTGATCTAACACACCTACAGAGAAATCCCCTTTCAGAAGCCATCGAGACTTGATAAATTCTTTCACCACACCCAGAGAAGGTTTACCATAGGCACATTTGCCAATAAGAGTTTGACAAAAACCTTTAGAAAGTTCTAAGGTTTCATTGGGGGACCAATACATCCCAGGCTCCCCTTTGTTAAAGACTACCCTCTTTGCAGTTTTAGGAGGATTCACCAAATTTAAGGAACCAAAAACAATATTAGACGCAGGATTTTGACTACCTGAAGGAATTTGAGAATTCGAAATGACTATTGGAATCTGAGTATCTTTATCAGAAGCAGGGATTTGAGATTTGTTCAGATTTCGATCCATCGAGGATTCAAGATTTTCCAAAGGAATGGATTGGGGGATTAGAGACGGTGGAGGATTCATAAGCATTCTCTGTGTGTTTCGATCAATAACAGATTCAATAGGAACATGATATCCTAACCCAGATGAAGAACTCTGATCATTTACAGCAGTCGATACATTCGCAGGAAGAACAGAGGCCAGACGAACAGTCGGCTTAGTTTGATTCACTTGAGAAATAAGAGGCATAGAGATGGTGTTATTCCCTCCCAAAGGATCTACAATTGTTAAGGAATTAAATTCTGAAGTGATAGGGATTGTTGGAACATTTTCAATCGGAGCAGATTTCTTGAACAAGGAGGCAAAGTTTTTGGTAATGTCTGGAGGTTTTGGTGGAATTTGATTGTGTTCTAGGGCTAAAACCATGCTAAATCAATCAATACAACAGTAGGAATCAAAGATTTCACAACAACATAGTGAAGAATCAGATGAAAAACAAGAAGATCTGGAAAAAGAAATAAAGTTTCGAGAGAGAAGTCAGACCTTCTCTCTCTAGAATGAAATAACTGCCTCCTCTCTAAACCCTAAACCCTAAACCCTAAACCCTAAACCCTAAACCCTAAACCCTAAACCCTAAACCCTAAACCCTAAACCCTAAACCCTAAACCCTAAACCCTAAACCCTAAACCCTAAACCCTAAACCCTAAACCCTAAACCCTAAACCCTAAACCCTAAACCCTAAAACCTAAACCCTAAACCCTAAACCCTAAACCCTAAACCCTAAACCCTAAACCCTAAACCCTAAACCCTAACCCTAATTGTTGTAGAAGCTGTTATGCAACTACCAACTGTCCAACATTTCCAACTCAATTAAATAGGAATTCAATTAACCTATTCCCTGCCTTTGACCACAAAGTATCCTTTTCAATCTGATATTAGGTAAACCAGTCTGATCTTGCCTCTGAATAAGCCTTCCAGCAACTGGCAATATATTACTGTCAGAGAATTCAGTGTATTTCTTTGTCTGAACAGCAAAAGAAGCTAAGAAATCAGCAATTCCATTAGCTTCTCTGTAAATATGTGATATTTGCAAATTCATCATTCCAAACAACAAATTAATCCTCTTTAACAAATATTGCAATTTCCATGGAACTGCAGCTATTCCTTTCACCATTTGAACTAAAGTTTGAGAATCAGACTCCACTAAAATCAGGGAATCTGATAAACCATGCTGCATGATCAACAATAAACCATCAAACAATGCCATGCACTCAGCTAACATATTTGATCCAACTCCATAAAAGCAAGCAGCAGCTATCATCACTATCCCTTCATGGTTCCTTAACACCACTCCTCCTCCTGACAATCCAGTCTTTCCTTTAGAGGCACCATCAACATTGAGCTTTAAGACATTTATAGGAGGAAATTCCCAACTAATCCATTTGACCTTAGTAATTAAGAAATAAGGATTTTTAATGTTCAACTCTCTCAAAAGTTCCTGACCCTTACCATCATCATTAGCTCCAGGCCTGATAATAAAAGCCTGCCATTTCAAAGTACTAACAACTTGTAGGAAAATTGCATGTGCATTCAAAAACAATCCCTCATACTTCCTTCTGCATCTTTCCTTCCACAGAGCCCAAAAGATTAACATAGAAACCCCTCTAATCAAACTGTGACTGAGAGAAGGAACTTTAAATCTTCTGAGCAATCTCAAAAATCTGCATAAAGGAGAGTCACCTGACAAAATATCAAACCCCATAATTGCAGCAATTTTCCTCCAAACATATTGAGCTAAAGAGCATTCAATGAAAAGATGAGCTATAGTCTCCCCAGCTGTACCACACATTACACATTTACTAGCCATGGCCACTCCTACATTCTGAATTCTATCATCAGAAGTCAAGGGTTTTTTAAAAATTTCCAGGTGCATAACTGAGCACTAGGAAAAATTTTCTACTTCCAAATACCTTGAACTATATCATTATGCGACCCCTTTTTCCTAATTTCATTCCAAGCAGATTTAACAGTAAAGCAGCCTGAGTTGGTATGCCTCCATATAAGTTTATCATGTGTGTCAGACCTCACAATAGCTACACTTTCAATCTCAGAGCATATCTGAGGATTAAGCCATTCAGCTACCTTTTCCAGCTGCCATTCAACACCATTCCATAATTCATTAATCCTAGGGAAAAACAATGGAGGAGTCTCCACTCTAAAAAATAAGGGACCAGAACTCAACCATGAGTCACACCAAAAATCAGTATGCTGTCCATTTCCAACAATTTTCAAGGAATTCTATACTGTAAACTTGAACCGTGGTTGTAGTATTTTGAAAGAAAGACCAGCAGTAGTAGTTTCACATCTAATCATATGCTTCCCCTAAAAAAACTTTTCTTTAAAAACCTTGGCCCACAAAGAAGAACCATTCAAAATACCCCATACCTGCTTGATTCTAAATGCTGTTTGAATTTCCTCAAGACTTCTAATCCCCAAGCCACCTTCTGTTTTAGGTTTAGAGACATCATTCAATGAAACCCAGTGTCTTTTCTTAGATCCAATCTGATTTGACCAAATGAAGTTAGCAATCAGAGAATTCAGCTTACTCAATACACCTTTTGGAATATTCAGGCAAGCCAATATGTGAATAGGGATTGAACTAAGTACTGATTGTATCAGTACAATTCTTCCCATACTAGATAACAATTTGGCATACCAACCCTCAATTCTCTTCCTGAATCTGTTCACCACCTCTTCAAAATAGCATTTCTTGATCCTTCCTCTGATAATGGGGCATCCCAGGTAAGTAAAAGGACATTCTTTAAAAGGAATTCCCACCTGAGCAACCAAGCTATTCCTTCTAGACAAGGAAATGAGCTTAGAACAAAAAACAGCACTCTTCAACTTATTAACCTTTTGACCAGAGCTTGACTCATATATAGCAATAAATTGCATGACATTCAATACAGATTTTTTGTTACCCCTTAGAAAAATCAGAGTATCATCAGCAAACAATAGGTGACTCACAATAGTTGTTCCTCTCCCAATATGAAAATGTTTCACCAAATTTTGACTATAAATGCTCCTCAGCCCTCTACTCAGTACTTCCTAAGCCAGGATGAATAAAGAGGGAGAAATAGGATCCCCCTGCCTTAGCCCTCTTGAATTAGCAAAGTAACCATATCTTTGTCCATTTAAACATATAGTAAAGAATTGGCTATTCAAACAATTCAAAATGATTTGATTGAACAAATCAGAAAAACCAAAACTAGCCAGAGCTTTCAGCAAGAAATCCCATTCCATCCTGTCATATGTTTTCATGATATCTAGTTTCATAACCATATTGCCACCCTCTACCTTCCAGTTCAATTCACCAACAAGCAGTTGCCCCAAAGCCACACAATCACTAATCCCTCTTCCTTTAACAAAACCATGTTGCTCCTCAGATATTAAAGCAGGAAGCAGAGGAGATAATCTAGTGTTTAGAAGCTTTGTAAAAATCTTATACAGGAAGTTACATAGGCTTATAGGTCTAAAGTCTGAAAATGTACTAGGACCCTCCTTCTTAGGAATCAAGACTAATAAAGTAGAATTCACAGATCTGGGGATTACACCTCCTTTAAGCAAAAAATTAATAGCTTTGACCACATCAACTTTAATGATATCCCAGGAAAATTGGAAAAACTTACCAGACATACCATCCGGTCCAAGAGCACTCTCTGTAGCCATAGAGAAAACAACATCTTTCACTTCCTCCATAGTAGCTTTAGCAGTAAGCCTCTCATTATCCTCTTTACTGATAAGCTTTGGAATGACATCAAATATGTGTTCTTTGATGATATGCTCCTCAGACTTATAAAGATCAGTATAGAATTCCTCAGCAACATCAGCCACCTGTTTATCCCCATATACCCACACTCCTTTATTCTTGATTCTTGAAACTTTGTTTCTGATAACTCTACTTTTAGCAATAGAGTGATAAAATCTAGTATTCCTCTCTCCTTGAATAGCCCATTTCACATTTGATTTTTGTTTCCAATAGATTTCCTCTCTTCTCAACCAATCATCCATCTCACCTTTAACCACTTCTAATTCTAAAGCTTTAGAATCAGAAAAGTTCTAATCTAATTCCATTTCAATTCCACTAGTCTTTTGTTCAAACTCTTTCAACTTTTCAAAAAGGTTACCAAAAACCTCTTTATTCCACATCCTCATATGAGTCTTCAGATATTTCATTTTGATGAACACATTTGACACTGGGTTATCTGAATACTGCCCATTCCAGTTAGAAGTAATTAGAGCCAGGAAATCTTCATGATCACACCACATATCTTGAAATCTAAAATAGGAGATTCTTTTCTGTACAGGAATGTCCATAATTTTCAATAATAAAGGACTATGATCAGAGGAACCCCTTGCCAAATGCACCACTTCCATACTTTCAAATTCCAGATTCCAATGAGCATTAATCAGAGCTCTATCCAGTCTCTGCTTCATTCTTGTGACCCCACCTCTATTATCACACCAAGTAAATTTATTTCCAATAAAACCAGCATCCATCATCCCCCTGTGATCCAGGAAATCACCAAATTCCTCCATGGATAACAAAGAAGGAGATGCTCCTCCTAGTCTTTCAGCAGAAGATAAAATGGTATTAAAGTCACCAGCTACCATCCAAGGAACATCAGGAGGAACATCAATATTCAACAAGTGAGACCATAAGGACCTTCTTATAAAAAGATCACAACTAGCATATACAACTGAAACCCAAATAATATGGGAATTCATAAGTGTTATTTCCACAGTCAAAACTTGAGCATGTTCAAATAAGACCCTTAGCTTGATTCTCTCATCCCATAATATCCAAATGTTCCTTTCTGCTAGAGCATTGGAACAAAAATGATCTACACCAATACTCCTAGCAAAAGGAACCAATTTGGACACCAACAATTTAGGCTCTTGAATTGCAACAAGACAAACATCATGCAATTTAATAAGTTTCTTTCATCTCCTCCTCTTGGCATCTTTACCTACCCCTCTCATATTCCATGATAGAAAATTAATCATAAATTCATAGGAGAAGGAACATCACTGGAACTAAATCCATTACCATCCTCATTTTCATCAAAAGAACTCCCAAAATTATCAGAATCAACATTTACAATCTTCTGAGTTCTAGAACTGGCCTGATCAGAGTAGTAACCCTTATCTGGAGGTTCTCTCATTCTAACCAAACCAGACTGGTCATCTAAAGAATTTTGGCTTCCTTGCCTAGCAGCAAATCCATGTTCCACAAGAAATGAGGACCCCATTGATGGAGCATAAAGGTTTATACATTCTCCCAATACCTCCATATTATCCTTAACCAACATATTGTCATTGTTAATACCATCAAAATTAGAAACTATATTTTCCACTTCAGATGTTAGCATTCCTCCAATAATTTCAACATTAACCTCCTCATTATTCACAGGAGGTAATAACGTAGGGGAGGAAAAGAAGTTTACCTCCAAATTTGCACCCTCTGATGATGTAGTTATAGGAATTTGATTCCTAGATCTTGAACCATTAAGTAGTATTGGACTGTTCTCTTGTTGAATTCCCTTCATTCTGGTATCAGCTATATCAGCATTTACCTCTCCTTGAATACCACATTCAGAATTTGCCTGAGGATTATCAAGAATTACAGTATCAATTCTAACAGCATCCCCCTGTACTTCAACAAGTCCAGTACCCATTTCTTTAATAGAGGGAGATCCCTCATTATTAGCAACCTTGTCAGGTAATTTTTCCTGACCATTCTGATCCATTTCCTTCCCAATCTCCAGCTCTTCTACAACAATCTCCTCATTGAACACAAAGAAACTATTTCCCACAACAGTAGTTTGAGGCAAAGGTTTCTGTCTGTATTCCTTTCTACACTGTACTTTCTGTCCTTCTATAGCAACAGTTTTTCCCTTTCTCTTCTTCCATTCCTCATTCTGTGGGAGATTATTCCCATCCTCCTGTTGCTTCTCAGAAATATCAACTTCCACTTTCTTCTTCCTTCTACACAACACTTCATCATGACCCTGCTTTAGACAAGCAGGACAATACCTGTATTCTTTCTCATACACTATCCTCTGCCATCTGCCACTAATGCCCCCCCATATCTAACCAGAATCTCTTAGGATTATTGACTAGAAGATTCATTTCAACACAGGCCCTGGCTACACCCGGCCTAGAGAGATTCAGAGTGGCATTATCTATCACCAGAATTCTGCCTATTGGACTTAATATATCTCTCAGACTCTCTCTGTTAAATAAATGGATTGGAAGACCAGGTAAGGACACCCATACAGGTACAATAGGTGGCTCGATCCCAGAATAAAACTCTGGAAACCATTTGAAAAACCTGAAAAGGTAACCCTCAATGTAGGTGGTATCCTTCAGCCACACTTTAACATAGTCCTCATAGAGAGAAAATTTGATCAGTACATGCCTCTGATCTAATACTCCTACAGAGAAATCTCCTTTCAGCAGCCACCTAGATTTGATAAATTCTTTCACCACACCTAGAGAAGGTTTACCATAGGCACATTTACCAATAAGTATTTGACAAAAACCTTTAGATAGTTCCAAAGTTTCAGTAGGGGACCAGTACATTCCGGGTTCTCCTTTATTAAAGACTACCCTCTTAGCAGGTTTGGAAGAGTTCATGGAATTTACAGAACCAAAAACAATATTAGAAGCAAGAACATGAAGACCAGAGAGATTTTGAGTATTCGAAATAACAACTGGGATCTGAATTCCTTTCTCAGGAGCAGAGATTTGAGATTTAGGCAGACTTCGATCCATCGAGGATTCATGAGATTCCAAAATGGCTTGAGGAATTAAAGAAGGTTGAGGATTAATAACAAGTGTTTTCGTGTTTCGATCAATTGTAGAATCAATAGGAACTTGACTTCCTAACCCAGAAGAAGAACTATAAACATTTGTAGCAGTCGACACCGTCGCAGGAAGAACAGAGGCCAGTTGAACAGTCGGCTTGGTTTGATTCACTTTACAAATAAGAGGCATAGAGATGGTGTTATTCCCTCCCAAAGGATCAACAATTGTTAAGGAAGTAAATTCTGAAGTAATAGGAATTGTTAGAGAAATGTCTTTCAGAACAGGTTTCTTAAACAAAGAGGCAAAGTTTTGGGTGATGTCTGGAGGTTTTGGGGAAATTTGATGATATTCTTAGGCCAGATCCATGCTAAATCAATCAAAACCACTAGGATTTACAAAGAAAACCAAGGAAATAATGAAGAAACAGTAAAGAACAAAGAAGATCTGAGAAAAAAAAATGAAAAGTTTTTTAGAGAGAAGTCAGACCTTCTCTCTCTAGAATGAAATAACTGCCTCCTCCTAAACCCTAAACCCTAAACCCTAAACCCTAAACCCTCAACCCTCAACCCTCAACCCTAAACCCTAAAACCCTAAAACCCTAAAATCCTAAACCCTAAACCCTAAACCCTAAAACCCTCAACCCTAAACCCCAAAACCCTCAACCCTAAACCCCCAACCCTCAACCCTCAACCCTAAAAGCCTAAACCCTAAAACCCTAAACCCTAAACCCTAAAACCCTTAAACCCTAAACCCTAAACCCTAAATCCTAAAACCCTAAAACCCTAAACCCTAAACCCTAAATCCTAGCTATCACGTTAATTTTTGTCGAATTTTGAAATAGTCAAATTTTTTATATTTTACGAGGTGATCAGGCCTCGGGACACTCAAACACGAATTTTTGAATAAAATTTTGAACTTTAATCAAAATAAAATTTAATCATTTCGGGGCAAAAATGAACTTGAAAAAGAGGATTGTGTGGCGCATTATGAACCAAGTATTTAGGGAGTATAAAAAGGGGAGAAATATCATATTTTTCTCCATTTTTCAGCCGATTCCAATATGAGAAAGAAGTAAGGGAAAAAGGCTTAGGTTCTCCACCTTCTCTCTACGATCTACGGAGATTCGTTAGTCGAATCAACTCAAGCCAAGAGCAAAGATTGTTCTACGCAGCGAGGGCTACAAAACCATACCAAGAAGAATGGATTTCATCAAAGTTCCAAGAATGAGCTTATAAAAATCAAGGGTTTTGGGCAAGATTGGTGTTCTTGAAGGCTTCTACCAAGTGAGTTTACACTTCAAGAGGTAGGGTTCCCTCCTACTTAGGTTTATTTTCAACCTAGGAGGTTTATATGGAATGGGTAGGTTGATAAAGTTATATATATCACTTGCCTATTGTGGTAATTTGGGAAAATGGGTATTGAAAATGGGTAAAATAAATTCTATCTTAAATTGGGTATGTAGAAATTACTTAGTGAAATTTCTTGAGAAATGTGAAAATTACTAATTTGTAGTTTCTTAGTAAGAATGTTATTGTGGACATGTTATGTGTTTACATTATGTCTTGTTGAACTTAGTGTGTTAATTACATGTTTATGTGATAACATGTTTGGAAATTGTTGTTGTGTATGATGTTAATATATGCTTTATGATATGTTAGCATTATGATGAATTGTGAAAATTATATGCTCTTGATATAATTGACAATAGAATGGTAAAATTGCTCAATTAGCATTCATCGCATATTGGGTATGATGTGGGCATCACATTCATGGGCATTGGGCATGAGTGTAGGTGTATGTGCACAAGGTTCAATCAAACACCATACTTAGTGGATAATGGGTGGGCTCGGGAAAAGTTAGAATGAAATTCTGGCTGAGTCGCACGGTTGCACGAAAAAATTTATGTTGGGTATAGAAAGAAGGGCTAGACTCTCCCTCGGGTGCAAGACTCGGCTACTGGTTTATACATTTTCGTCAGTGCAAGTCTAAAAAAGTGTATCGATGTGCAGAGCCCGCGGTGCAACACCAAAAGTTCGCTATCCAACAAAGACACATGATTTTGTTTATATAAAATTGTCATTCAGTGTGTAATACCAATGGTGGGGGCTTGAAAGTGTCCATTTTTCATACACTGGCGTTGCATTGTGTGGTTAGAGCCGCTGAGGGCTCGGGTTAGAGTGCATGAATGAGTTTTATCTCATATCATGGCATGACTTGTTATATTCCAACATTGAATGCACGTTCTTATTTGGAATGTTGTGGATTGTTGAATGTTACATGTAGACCTTTCATATGCACTTAGGTTGGAGAATAGCCTCTTTAGGATATACTCTATTAAGCGTGGCTCACCCTTTATGAGACAACAATTTAAAGTGCGGGGTTTACACCGGCGGACGGCTCTCATTTCGAGCCTCGAGGATGAAGAAAGCCAACTTGTGGCTTTTATTGCTCATTTTGTAAAACCTTTATGAAAATTCCATTTTGATGTGTAAATATGTGGAATTGTATGTAATAGAAATTGTAAGTATCATGCTTTTGTGAAAAACTCTATTAAACTTGAATTGGATGGTTGTGGAAGGGATTGGGTTGGTTTGGAAATGAAACAGGCAATTGTGGGCAAAACCTACCAGTTGAACTTAAACCTACCGATAGAACTTTTTCGGTAGACAAAACCTATAGGTAGATTTTCTAAAAATTTGATATTTTAATAGAACTTTGCCAATGGATCAAACCTACCGGTAGGTCCATGCAAACCTACCAATAGATCATTCAAAAATCTAAAATTTTAAAAGTGCTTTGACATATTTTTGGGCTATGCGTTCCCTCATTTCAAAAGGTGTAAATGGACCCTATTAGGGTATATTGGACCTCGGATGGGTCAATTGAATTAAAAGTATACAAGTTATGGGTTTTTGTCATCTAAGTAAAGGGGATGTGATATTGTGATGTCGGATTGAGCAGCATCCACGGGTGGTTCCACGGGTTGATGGGTAATCAACAATTTAACAAAGGACCCCCGATTTTAGGGGCGTCACAGTACTGGCTCTCATGATCACCATATTAGCTTTCTCCATCTTCATTCTCTTGTGCAGGTATGTGTGAATGGGGTACACGTGCGCTCCCTGTGCGCTGAAGAGGGGCTGCCGGGCGAGGGGCGTCCTGATGTGGCCTTGGAGCATTTTAGCGAAGGGCCCCATGGTTAGTGGATGTCTGGCGCCTAGAAGGGATGGGTTGATGCTCCTCTCCTACTAGAGGGAGTAGTATTTATCCTACATGGTGAGGGGCAACGCCTCCCTGGGCAAGCATCAATTGAATGATCTACTTATTTTGTTTTACCAGCAGTTGCATAGTTTGTAAGAGATGTTGCTGTTGTCCAGTCATAGTAGCAGATGGTTTTGAAGGTGCAATGGGAGGTGGAGCCTCCTCCTAGTGAGTCGGGTTGTTGTCTCCTGGTTGTTGACTTATCGATCTGGTAGAAGCCTTGGAGCATTCTAGCTAGTTGTCTCATTGTTAGAGGCTGTTTGGCACCCAGAAGGGATGGGTTGCTACTCCTCTCCTGTTGGAGGGAGTGGTACTCCTCCTACAGGGTGAGGGGTGGGACCTCCCTAGCCGAGCATCAGTTGAATGATCTACTGATTTTATTTTTCCAGCAGTTACATAGTCTGTAAGAGCTGTTGCTATTGTCAAATCGTAGTAGTAGATGGTTCTGAGAATGCAAGGGGAAGTAGAGCCTCCTCCCGGTGAGTCGGGTTGTTGTCTCCCAATTTTTGACTCATCCATCTAGTAGTGATTGACATGGATTAAAAAGGAGTAGGAAATTAGTCGTTTCCCACAAACGACGTCAAACTGATGAAGCACAAATTGGTATTGCACAAAATCAACAGTCAAGGATGTGTACGGATACAATCAATAAGCAGTAAACAATCAATTAATAATAAAGTTGTAAATAAAGAAACAACATAGAGATTTATAATGGTTCGACCCGGGTGACCTACTCAACTCTTGGGAATGGCAGCGATGACCTGAGTCTTTTATTAATGAATGAAATTGTTGGAGAGAGTATTCTCCAGGAGTATTACAATGCTTTTAGGAGAGAGAGAGAGAGAGAGCAAAGTGTGTAGGAAGGTGTAGTATGTGCAGAGATCTCAAGATGTAGAGGCCCCAAAAGGTGATGTGAAGATGTCTCTCCTTGTGGAGAGAGCTTGCATTATATAGATTTACAAAGGTGGTGAGCCGGTGAGGTGAGGGAGAGGTCTTCCACTATTTTGGTAAGTACAGTTATGGTATGATTAGATCTCCTTATCCCGATATTCTTTCCCTCATGTACCTATTCCGTTAGAGGAAGATCCTGAGTTGGGTTGAAGTTGAGTTGGAAAGACCAAGTGAGGAGAGAGACCATTAAGGCGATACCTATATGAGAAGGGAAGAGCATGGCATGGAGGAGAGCAGGGGTCCCCTTGGGGTGGCCTCCTTGGGTGGCACCTCTTGGGGTCTTCTTCGAGCGCTGGTCTCTTGGTCTCCCTTTGGGCCTGGTGTCTTAGGCTCCTTCTTAACTTGATGACTTGGGCTTCGAGATGATGTGGGTCTCTCTTGATTCGTTGGGCCTGGCCCAGTTAATTTCGGGTTCATCAAATATGATTATTGGATCTTTAAAAGAGAATAAAATCTCTCAATTAAAGATTTGAGTATGTATTTGAATTTTCCTTGATTTGGGTAAAAAAAATATCCCTTGATTTGATATGGTTACCCATTAAAAGATGATAAAATCTCACCATTAAAGATTTGAGCTTTAAAAATTTTTCTCTTTGGGTTTAAAAAAAGGTTTTTTTATTTATTTATTTGGTATGGGTATAAGTCTAGTATTGAAAAAATATTTTAGATTATTTTTATCTAAATTTAAATTTAAGTATAAAAAAGGTAAAGATGGGAAATGTTTTATTGAAAATTTTTTTTTAAGAATTTTTTGTCTAAATTTAAATTAGAGCTTAAAAACAGTAAGATCGGGGAGATTAAGTCGGTTTCTCAATTTGGTTTTGAAGTTGTGAAGATACGAGTGTCTTTCTTCACTCTCTCTTATGTCTTTATGAAATGGCTTCCACGACACCCTACGGCTCAATCTCAACACCCCAAGAAGAACGCTATACATCCACAGCCATCAATTTGTCTTCATCCTCTTCAACAGTCTGATTTGGCACTCCTGAAGCCCTCGAACACGTTCAAAAACTCACTGATGTAGGAGCCATGACTTGTCTCCATCACAAATTCATTGCTTGCCAACGAGCCCTGGATTTTGAACTAGACACCATTCTTTCCCAACGCCCAGATCTCGACAAACAACTCTCCAACCTCCACAAATCCCGGAAGCTCCTTGAGATCGTCAAGGCCGATTCCGACCACATGCTCTCCAACGTCCGCTCCACATACAATCTTGCCGATCAAGTCAGCGGCAAATTTCGCCAACTTGATCTCGCTCAGTCCTGCGTTAATGACACTCTTCTCTGCATCGACGCCATCGTAGAGAGAGGTAATTGCATTGATGGCATTAAGAAAGCTCTCCAAACTGAAGATTTTGAATCGGCTGCTAAATACATCCAGACCTTCCTCCAGATCATGCCAAATACAGAGATTCTGGTTTGGATCAAAGAGAACTGTTGCTAGCATCGAAGAAACAGCTGCAAGGAATTGTCAGGAAGAGGTTATCGATTGTTGTGGATCAGCTAAACCACCCAGTGATCCTTCGCGTCATTAGATTATACTCTCCTCTCGGTTTGGAGGAAGAAGGATTGCAAGTGTACATAAGTTATTTGAAGAAAGTAATTTTGATGAGATCTAGGCTCGAATTCAAGCAATTGGTGGAATCGATGGAGTAACAGCAATCCTCTACTGCTGCTACTAATCAAAATTAAGTGAACTTTGTTGCTTATTTGATGAATTTGTTCAAAGACATTGTGTTAGCCATAGAAGAAAATAATGAGATTTTAAGGAGTAATCTATGTAATGAGGTGGAATGTGTATGCCATATATGAGCTCCAAGATGAGTGTGATTCTCGGGGTTCCTTAATTTTAAAGAAATACATAGAATATCGAAAATTGGCTAAGTTGACATCCGAAATTAACACTTACAAGAGAAACTTACTTTCTGTTAGAGACCAAGGATCTGACCCAAGAGAGATCAAATTGTATTTGGAAGAGATTTTGCAACTGACACGGTTGGGTGAGGACTACACTGATTATATGGTGTCCAAGATAAGAGGTTTGAGGTCAGTTGATCCAGAATTACTTCCCCAAGCAACCAGAGTTTTTAGGAGTGAAAATTTCAGTCAAGTTGTTCAGGACATTACGGGTTATTATGTGATTTTGGAGGGGTTCTTCTTGGTGGAAAATGTGAGGAAGGCTATTAGCATTGATGAGCATGTACTTGATAGCCTCACAATGTCCATGGTGGATGATGTGTTCTATGTTCTACAGAGTTGCTGTAGGAAATCGATATCCACTTTTAATATTAACTCAGTGATTGCGATACTGAGCAGTGTTGTGAGTTTGTTGGGTGGCGAGTATAATGAAGCGTTGTAGCAAAAAATGAGGGAGCCTAACCTTGAAGCGAAGCTGTTCACGGGTGGTGCTGGTGTGCAAAAGACTGGGACAGAGATTGCGACAGCTTTAAATAACATGGATGTCAGTAGCGATTATGCACTAAAACTACGACATTAGATTGAAGAACAATGTTCAGAGGTCAGTGGCAATTGTACTTCTATTTTGGTTATTTCTATTCAGTCCCCATCTTTCTTAAGGATTTTTTTTACTTTGGCTCTTTGTCTGGGAAGAGCTTTGCATTCAAAGTTTCATTTCTTAAAGGAGTATACTAAAATTGCTAGTTCATACATAACACAATGTGGTCTTGGGTTGCTTCTCTTTCCATATACAAATTTTATTTAATGGAACATAGACCTCTCTCATTTCTTGTAATATTTTCGGG